GAAGTAAGAATAAAGTTAAAACCAACTTGCAAATTTATATAGAGTAATTTTATTGTAATGAACTGGTCATTGAAGAAATTTCAACGCCTTTCTTTATATAGGCAAAATAATCTTGAGGAAGATAAGTAATTAAAACCTAAAATAAAAAGTAATAAAAAATTTAAAAGAATAATAAGTCCTAATTTAAACAAGAAAATAAAATTCTAACGAGAAGAAATAATTCATTGTCCTATTTGAATTAGAATTTTCCTAAATCAATCTTCCCTACTTGAAAAAACCTGTCCTTGAGTTTATTTGAAGAAGAGAATCTAAATCAGAAAAATCTCCGAAATTTTTGCATCACAACACTCCTAAGTTTAAATCGAACCTCTCGAGGATAATCTCTAGCCACTTATTGACATATTTTGCGCTCATTGAAGTGACCAACTTTCATCGTAGTAGAATTTAGAAATATGCAAATTTTTGTCACCAGAATCTTATTACCTATTCAGCCTTCTTTCCAAATTTTAGATCGAGGATGGTAATTTTGCAATTCTCCGATCATCGTCGCGAGTATGCATGCGACTACCAACATAGATGTCCATCAGTTCAGGGCAAAATCTTGATCTGATACCAATTTTTGCGTAGAAGTGGAATTGAAGTTCTTGGAATAAGAAAAAAGTTGAACCAACTCGAAAATATGTGTAGAATAATTTTTTTGTAATGAATTGGTCACTGAAAAAATTATAAAGCCTTTTGTTTACATAATAGCTTAGCCTATGTTTGGCCTCCATTAGAAATAAATTTTGTGAGAAAATGTGTTTTGAAATAGTGATTTTTCGGAGAATGTGTGATTAAAAAATAAGAAAAAGTTTTGGGTTTACGTGTAAATATTATTTTATTGGAAAATGTGATTGAAAATAAGACAGAGAAAAGTGCATTTTTTTCACAAAATGAGCCCAAACAGGGGCTTAAGAAAGTTAAGTAATTAAAACCTACAAGAAAAAAATATAAAAAGCTTAAAAGAAATAAAAGCCCTAATCTAAACGAGAAATAAAATCGTATTACAAGAATTCATTATAGAATAATTTTCAGATATGTCTTTTCTGCTTCACTGCTGAGAATGTTACTTTTCTCAGAATATAGTTGATGGCATCTTCCTTGCAGCTAAAATTTTGTTTTACTGGTTGATCATAAATTTTATCTATTCTCTTCCTTTGCGTACCAGGTTAATCTTGGTTCCACCGTGAACACATCTGCCCTGGTGCCTCTCGATTCGGACGTTTCTGCTTTGATCCACAATGGATTTGGGTTGAATGACCCTAGGAGAGAAGAAAGTGAAACAAAAGGTGTTGAACTTAGCCCAGAAGCTCCAGAGGCTAGTACACCAACGGAGATCTCTCTTTATCAGACGCTGATTGCAGCTTTAATTCCCGAAGAAGGAAATCAAGAGCTTTGCAGCAGTGGAAATGAAGACTCCAGATTTGATGTGTTTGGATCTTGTTTTGAAATGGAAAAAGATATGGATTCAGATACTTTCTGCTCGCCGAGGTCTCAAAATCGTGATATTTCCAGATATTCCGCTTCTAATGGTTACAGGATAAACGCTGATGGAAAACTCTTCTATGAACTGGACCACACGTTTCCAGATCATAATGGTGGTTCTATTCCAGACACTGGAATTATTCCAATCTGCAATCATTTGCAAAATGGTTTACTTCCAGACCAGATTATGCCTAGCGTAGAATGTTCTGAATATCAGTATAATAATATGTCAATAAATGAAAGACTTCTCGTGGAGATTCATAGTATTGGACTTTACCCAGATTTAGTGGTACGTTTGTTTTTCTTTCAATATGAAGATAGTATTGTACAATAAGTTATATTTTCACAGCCTTACCCTGAGGTCTCTGCATTCCTGTGATTGCCATGCCCTTTTGATCAGCCTGATTTGTGTCAGACTGGAGATGAAGAAATCAGTGGAGATCTTAGTAGATTAGATGAGAAGTATCAAGAAGAGGTAAGATCAGATGGTTACCCCTCTTCCTTCTCTACTGCTCTGTCAATTCAAAGAAAAAAAAAAGTGAGAAAAAGAAAAGAAAAGAACACTAAAGGAAAAAGAAAAGAAAACGAGGGTCTGTACTCTTATTATGCAAGGATTCTGGAAGTTTCATACTTAGCTTAGATCGTCAATCATGATGCTCAGAATCCTTTTTCATTTACGGAGGTGAATACCAATGGAGCATGCAACTATTAGTTTTCCGCTCTCTCAATGGTTTACCCTGGAACCTTGATCTTGATGAGATTTATGTTTTGTGTGAAATTTCTTAAGACTTGAGAATATACTATCCCACTATTCTCTTTTTGTTCTTCTGGGTAATTGTTTAGATCAAGAATTTAAATCAAACTTCTGATTTTGCATGTGTTAGGATATTCTTCTTTTTATATAGTGAAGCTTCTAGATTTCAGTGAAGTGTGTTATTCATGTCAGGGGCCTTTCTCATATTTTAGTTGATGAATAGGTTTCAAGGAAGAATAGTTTGCTTGGTAAACTGCTAAATTCAGCTTCTGAGGCTAAAGAGCTTCAAGAAAAGTAAGAAGTTTGTTCTTTATTTTCGTACGTAGTTTGTTTCTGATCTTTCCTCGACTATGTGTGCTTTTTGTCAATAACCCAAACGCTTTATTCTATCACAGCCTGTTCGAACGGTGCGCTTTAGAGAAACTTGTGGGATTGGCTTACGAAAAGTACATGGTAATTTTTCTATTCTATATCCTTTCTTTATTTAATTGATTTTAAATGCTTACTTCCCTTTTAAAAGTATGTAAATATAATTTGTCTGCTTCATGGATCGACACATCAAATTTATTTGTGAATATTACTTGTATATCCATCAAGTTTGTTTGTTACAGGGAATATGATTTCTTCCATGTCAATATATTCTTCCACCTTAAATATATGACAATCCTAGTCGAACATTTTTTTCATTTTTTACCCTTCCCTATTCATCGATTGGAAAAATTAGTACAAGAGGGAGGGCGACATACCAGCCTTACCTCCGGAGGTCAAGAGGACGAAAAAGTAGGATTTGCAAAGCTGAACGAATATTACTGCAAATTAATAAAATATTTGATTACCTTTCAAAAAAAAAAAAAAATTTTTTTCTTGGGTCATTGAGTTGCTACATTCGTCTTTGTCGCTACTTTTGTAATGAGTGTAGTACTCCCAAATTTCAATTTTGTAATGGCTCACTTTCAAAGTTCAGCTCTGCAAATCCTACTTTTTCATCCTCTTGACCCAAGAAAACTCAACAAAATAATATAACTAAGTCTGCAAGCAGGCACTAAAGACAACCAAATATACAAGCAAATTACACATAGCATGAGTATGCAGTCACATGTGCGGTAAATTAAATAAAATAAAGTAATGCAAAGATGGATCCTACAGCAGGCGGGAAAGCAAATATGCAATAACCTATGGCCTAATATGTAGCAGTAAGACATGGAAATGAATAAAGCCTACTGCTCCCTCTTCCATCATCCACTTGAGACCCATTCTCAAATCTAGAGTGCAAACTTTGGTATGGATTTATTATCAGATCTTGGGAGAGATTCATCACCGAAGTTTTGGTAAGCAAAAGTATCTCAGCAGGTTATTGAACAAGTGGACCAAACTCTATCATCTACTTTGCATTAGAAAACAAGGCTGTTTAGTCAGTTTCTTTTGGGGTTTGCAAATAGGAATTCTCGTTGTGTTTGAATGTAAGATGCCGCCAATAATCGCCGCATTAAGTCCTTAGCATCTAATATTCTGCTCCATTTAGTTTTATTATTTTTATTTTTTNTAATATTCTGCTCCATTTAGTTTTATTATTTTTATTTTTTACAAGTCAAATCTTTTAATATGTGACCATTATTATTGAAAATTTATTGCTGTTTTATTGGTGAATCTCCCGGACATTTTGGATGTCAATCCTGAAGATAGAATTATAACAATATTATTGTTTCAGTGTAGATTAGAAATTGATCATGAGGCGTGGCCAAGTGGTAAGGCAATGGGTTTTGCTTTAGGATTTCAATGTTTTTCAAGCTTAGCTTCTGCGTGCCTACTATAGTTGTCTGTAGAATTTCTATTAAGGTGGCAATTTTAGGTTTGTTTTCCTCTTTTAGCGGAGTTTCATAGATTTTGTGAACCTTTTCACTTACAATTTTCTGAAGTTTGTTACTAATAATTATCAAATAACTNATGGATTTATTATCAGATCTTGGGAGAGATTCATCACCGAAGTTTTGGTAAGCAAAAGTATCTCAGCAGGTTATTGAACAAGTGGACCAAACTCTATCATCTACTTTGCATTAGAAAACAAGGCTGTTTAGTCAGTTGCTTTTGGGGTTTGCAAATAGGAATTCTCGTTGTGTTTGAATGTAAGATGCCGCCAATAATCGCCGCATTAAGTCCTTAGCATCTAATATTCTGCTCCATTTAGTTTTATTATTTTTATTTTTTACAAGTCAAATCTTTTAATATGTGACCATTATTATTGAAAATTTATTGCTGTTTTATTGGTGAATCTCCCGGACATTTTGGATGTCAATCCTGAAGATAGAATTATAACAATATTATTGTTTCAGTGTAGATTAGAAATTGATCATGAGGCGTGGCCAAGTGGTAAGGCAATGGGTTTTGCTTTAGGATTTCAATGTTTTTCAAGCTTAGCTTCTGCGTGCCTACTATAGTTGTCTGTAGAATTTCTATTAAGGTGGCAATTTTAGGTTTGTTTTCCTCTTTTAGCGGAGTTTCATAGATTTTGTGAACCTTTTCACTTACAATTTTCTGAAGTTTGTTACTAATAATTATCAAATAACTAATAAAAAAAATATAATTTTTATCTTATGATTCCAGAAATGAATCTACCAAACTCCCCAAAAGTATTTTTTGATTGGATGTGGATGAATGAGAAATACTAAAGCGTCCCATATTGAATCTGGAACTTTGGTTGTTCCCAGAAGTTTTGTTACTTTATAAATTCCATCTCTTAACAGCTCGTAGATTTTGGTAAGAGCATTAATGTTTGCTATGGGAATGCTTTATGTACGACAACTGTAAACAGAATCAAATATCCCTACCCACCAAAACCAGAAAAACGAAAGAAAAGAATAAGAAGATAAGAAAAAAAATATTAAATATGAAAAAGAAGAAAGACTACATATTGCTTCCTTCTCGAAAGTCTACCTTATATTCACTTATGGATTGAAAAAAAAAAAGAAAAAACAATATGAATTCTAGAATCTAGATCATCTTTAGGCAGGCTTAAAAAGTTGAGTTTAATAAATGAAAAAATTGTAATAATAGTCAATGTCAGAAATGATCAAGTTATTTTGATAGTAAGGTCAGAATTACTTTCAAAATAATTTACTTATTTATTTAGATTTAGAAGTAAGAGAAAAATAACTTGTCCAAAAAGTTTAGAAGTAAATATTACTTTTTAAGCTTAGCCAATCATGTTATTTTCTTGAGTAAATACCGGTCTATCAAATACTTGTTCTTTGGAGATGTCATTTCTTCTGTGGGGGAAGAGGAATTGAGGGTTGTGCTGTTTGTTCAGAACATTCAATGGGTATGTAAGGTTCTTGATAAGGGAGGCTACATAATGGAGAGGAATTAGTACCTTTGGATCCTCAAAGCTTGATGATTCAATGAGTCCTGGAATTAGCTCAGTTTCAATGCTTTGAGTGTATGGGATATGGCTGGAAAAATCAAAAGATTTTGGAATTTAGAAAATTACTCTAGGGGGTCAGTTATAGATGAACTAGGAGGATGCTAACAGAAGTCAAGATAAGGTGATGCAGCACCAGTAAGCTTTGATTCTGTGGTGGGTGGTATGGTCAATGTGAACTGAGGAAAGGATAGATTCTAGAAGGTTTTACTAGCTAGGCTTGTAAATGGCAGTGAGCTTAACTGGAAAAAATGTTCAGTAATTCAGTGCTGGAATTCATGAAAGAATGTGGAGAGAAGGGGAACGTATCTGGTTTGATGTGGAGAAGTAGATGGGAAGAATTCAGTAGTTTCAAACTGACATAGATCACATCAGATATCGAAGGTGTCAAATGGACTTCGACTTGAGTTTGTGAGGACCTGCCTAAATTATATGTATATTATCTGTATAACCACTTGATCAAAAACCTTAAGTTGTTAAAGAGGGTCACATATATATCATTTAAATCTTTTCTTCAACGCTCTCCCTCAAGTGCAGGCAGGGTTTATTTTTTCCCATCAAAGCCTAACACGTGCACAATTTCATTAAATGAGTGGCGACTAGACTTGAAACTGGGACCTTTGCTATTATACCACGGGGAACCATTTGATTTAAAATCTTCAACTGTTAAAGAGGGCCACATGTATATTATCCAAATCTTGTTTCAACATAACCTAATAACAATCAGAACATAAATTGACACAATTTAGACATGCCACAAGAGTAACCAATTATCAGTAAGTATGGGAATTAGTGAATTGCCTTACAGACTAAGCAAACACATATAAAAAGCAGAGAACTAGCATGTTAGACAATGCTATGACATGATAAACCACAATGAATGCTTCTAGTTGGACTTGGAGGATTAATTCTGCAGGAATAACTGTTAATTGTGATGGATAGACAGCTGGTTTTGTTAGGTTACTGGTAGATCATTGAATCCTTAGATTCTGTAAATTTGTAATTGTTCATCACCTTTGATGCTTCATTAATATGCTTATACTTACCTTTCTGAACAACGAGGATTATTAATTTTATGTCTTGGGATTCTCCCCAATGATAAACTTACTTATCAACTCTCTCTGCAGTTAAACCATAAGATTTCTTTTCTTTTCTTTTTTATAAATAATACTTTTTATACGTTTACTTAATCTGACTTCTTTCAACTTCCTTTCATGATTATTGTGGCCTTTTATTCTGCATATTGGATAGATGATGGATGCTGCACCTGAATAATCTTAATGGTAATAAGCAGGTTATCTGATTGGTTTGTTTGTGCTACAAGCAAGGGTAATTTTGGTGAGAAACTATGTGCATTTCAAAAGTCTGTTGGTTTTCGATTTTTGGTCTAGAGCTTTATGACTGGAGAAGTTCCTGGGGCATTTTTATATTGCAATGGTTCTAGGAGTAGTTTTGTATGGGAAGACAGGTTGGACACGGATATTTAGGGATGAAAGAGAGGCTTTGCTGTATACTAGAGGAATGAGTAAAAAAGAAACTTCAATTTACTTTTAGATTGTTCCTTCAGGCCTCAAAGTAAAACACTATCCAAGATTTCCTACTCGAGCAAGTCTGTCTTACTTGAGCCTGTCTCTTTGTATGTGAAAACCTGCATGTAGTTCAATGATTGCCATTTTTCTTAGGGTTTAAAATTGTTTCAATACTCAAGTCTTTGTTTCAGTTAAAATGACTGTACAATGTTCAAAGTTCAAACATTGTTGTTTACAGATTTTTACATCTGTATCTGATTCTATTCATTGGTCTGCTGCACAATACAAATTAGCTCCATTGGTATCCTAGCTTCCTTGTGATTGGAATGAAATTGTTAAATTGTTTTTTCCAGAGTTGTGGGGGTCCTAATGCTCATGGGATGAAAAGTGCCAGTGGTAAAATGGCAAAACAAGCTGCATTGGCTTTCGTTAAGCGGACATTGGAACGATGTCGAGAATTTGATGCAACTGGAAAGAGCTGCTTTGGTGAGCCTTCGTATAAAGAAATTTTCCTTTCTGGAGTCGCACACCTAGTCGACATACAAGCAGTAAATTCAAGTGCTGATAATGAATCTGGAAAGAGGCAGTTTAACACATCTGGATGTTCTATTGAAGTTAGAACTTCAGGTTGGTCCCATTGATAGATACCTGAATGCTTATAAGCATTTTATTATCTTTAAATAAGTCATAAATTAGAATGCATGTTTTCCTGCATTTTAATTTAACTAGTACTACTTAGAATAGATGCTAATACATATCTCTGGCTATATCTGATGGGGACTGTCAGATATATATCCATATGCCCTGTGGATGAGGTTTATGTATGAAACACGGTTCTCACATTCTCAACCCTTGAGAATGTGCATTTATGATTACATTTTTATAAAGATTAGCATGATAAGATTAACTTTACTCTACAGATCAAATGTTTTTTCGTGCAAAGGTTGTTAGCAAAATAAAATAACGTGACAAAAACATCATCCCTGATTATTCTTTAAGAAATGCTTCTAGCTGTAATGTGGAATATTTGAAGTTAAAAGAATCCCAGTAGGTAGGTTAATTTAGGCACAGTGTGTTATACATAGGGATAAAAGACGAGTTTGACGAGTCTCTAGCTATTTTTTCATATGGTATGATGGTACTTTTTTGTTTTTGTCAATTATCTTAGTATTGGTGTCATTTATTTGTTTTGCAGCTCCCTTGGGAGCACTGCACAGCCCATCTTCAAACATTCAAGAAATTTATTCTTCTGGAGCTCCCATATCAGCAAATCTAGGTTCTGAACTAACTACTGGCAAAGAAGACCTCTGGTCAAATAGGGTGAAGAAGTGTGAGTTACCTGATGAAACTGTTGGTGGTACACTTAGCTCATCCGCCGGTGTCCCATCAGGCATTGGAAGTTCACTTTCGAGCAGTGCAAAAGGAAAAAGGAGTGAGAGAGAAGGAAAGGGAAATAGCAGAGAAGCGCTATCCAGAAGTGGAAGCACTAAAGTTGGTCGGGCTGCACTGGCCAATGTCAAGGGAGAGAGAAAGCCTAAAGCAAAACCTAGACAGAAAACAGGTCAACTCACTGCTTCTGTCAATGGCCCTCTTGGAAAGATGTCTGAGCGGCCAAAAACAACGTTATTTTCTGCACCCAAATCAAATGAGAGGAGTGGAAGTGGCACTGACAAGGATAAAAACCTCTTGGAGGAACCCATAGATTTGTCTGGCTTGCAACTTCCTGGAATGGGCGATCTAGGTGTACCGGATGATCTTTCTGGTCAAGGAGAGGACCTAGGGTCTTGGTTGAACAACATTGAGGACGATGGATTGCAAGATCATGACTATATGGGTGGGCTTGAAATTCCAATGGATGATCTATCAGACTTGAATATGATGGTTTGACCTTGCAATCGTTGTATATTCCTTTCTATTATACAATCACAGATGAAAAACCATTGTTTGTGGAAGACCAGTTACAAGGATGTCATGCGACTCCTGGCTGTGAGTAGGCCATATATTCTTTTGGTTACTCCCTACACAAGTTGAGTTTTGAGTGAACCTCTGAGATGCTTGGATGGTTTTCCTGTTCAAGTTGACACCTTGACTGTAAAGATCATTTTGTTTGACGTTAGTATCTTTAATGATAAGGTCTCAGAAAACCCTGTATTTTGGTTGTAGCGATTACATATCGGAGAGCAATGTCTTTGTACATAAAATTTATATTTTCAATAAGTTACCATTTTGTTTATTTTGCTATATGTGGTAGGTGTTGTGAGATGTTCACTTGTGTGTAATATGAGCTTCTATTTTAGATTTGATAGCTTTAAAAGGTCCACTTCTTATCTCTTGAAGTTACACTTTCCCTAACCATTTTGAGTTTGTAGGAAGCAGAAATCCCTCATTGTTCTCATTGACATCTGATGTTCCTCGTTGAATATGAAGGTATTAACAGTGTAAGCTAAGAGGTGGTGCAAGTGGATGAACTGTTTTATTGGGGATGCAATCGACTGCGGAATATCCTGTTTAATTAGCAGGTTGACTTCCTTCAAAGTAAATATAATTAATGTCCAGGACGCTCTCCATGATGCTTTAGTTAAATGCTACGTATAGCTGGGTAGGAGCTACAAATTTGACTCCAGTATATATATAGTTTGCCAAATGATATGTTGGTTTTCAATTCGAACCCACTGTCTACTGAATTGTATGCCGTTGTGCTACAAATGCAGCATTTGTAGAAGAAATTCCAAGGCTTGTGTAAGAACTAACTGCTTTTGATTTTCCAGAAGTCGCTTGCTCTTCATTAAATATATTATTCATTTTATCTCATTTTTGTATTATAATGTTTCTTTCATTGACTATGCATCACTTAGTGTTACATAATGCTTCTGTTTGAGCCCCATTTTTTCCACAACTTATTTTTCAAAACTCATTTTCAGCTGCACATCCTCCCATAAAATAATTTTACACGTAAATCCAAAAAAATTCTCTACTTTTTAACCACACATTCTCCAAAAAAATCACTATTCCAAAACACATTTCCTCCAAAAAAATAGGGCTCAAACAGGGGCAATATGGCCTCGAGAAATTTCCTCCAAATCAAGGAAATATTATGATCATCTTACTCCAGTGGTGAGAGAACATGTGGCTGTTTTTATTTTCTATTGGAGTTACCCTATATACCCTTTTGAGGCTGTCTGCATTCTTAAATATAGTTATTTGTAAACAGCTTGCCTTGGCAGAAAGTATTTGATGGCCCAATATTTTGGACACACTTCCTGTGTCATCTGTCTTGGGCAAATTTGTTTCTGCTTCTGTTTGAAGCAGCCGGATATATTCTGTCCCAGATTCTCACTGATGCGTGGTAAATCATTGTTTTCACTTGTTTGATTTTGAAGATTATTTATCTGAATTTTAGCAATTAGTTTTGCTAAATTACTGTGGTAAAAGCCTTCAGAATATCTTGGGTTTCACTTTTTCTGAAGGTGTTTTTTTCAATAATAATATTTTTAAACACTGCAGACTATTACATGAATGCAAAACTTCTGTGCCGATGATGTGGTTTAAGGTAAGTCCGCAAGTACAGTTTTTATGATGCCATAGTGCAACATCAATAAATATTCTTGTTTGAGAATGTGGAGAAGTGAGTCCTTTCGATATGGTATGTGGATTTTTATAATTTATATCTGCCATCACACTTCACAAGTAGGAACAGTGTTCCTAAATGATAAAAATCACAAATCTCATTCTCACAGCTTGATGTTTATTTCAAACAGACAGGAACTCCTCTCCAAGAGACAACACTTGTACAAATGATTGTGCAGAATATGCTACCAGAAATTACCTCTTCGTGTAAGGTATGCGTAGTCAATTTGTTTGAAGAATTTTACTACGTTCTTCTGCCATTTTCAAATATGTGAACCTGTCACTGATAGTAGAGGCTAAAGAAGTAAAAAATCTGAAAATAAGTCATCACGATCAAAAAAAGGTTGTGCTAATATAAAAAAAATGTTAAACAAAATGTGGACGAAATGAAAATGCTTGTATGATTGTTGATACTGCAATGGAGGATAATATGGAAGAGCCGTATGATTTCAATTCAAAACTTGTTCAGATGTGATGTAATCCGATCCGTAAAGATGTGTGCAAGGCTTTATTAGATGTTATATTTTTATTTAATTGTGTTCTTTTAGTAATTAAGTTTTTCTAAATGATATTTTTAATTATCTAGGGTTGAATTTATATTTCATAAGGAGTTTAGGGAGTGTTAATGCAATTTTAATTAGGTTTGCTTTAGGTCTATATTAGAGCCACAACTGTATTTTGGGGACATTTTTGATTGATTTACAAATTATAATAATATAATTGTGAGATTTTTCTTCAATGCCGACCCAAATGGTATTCTGTGCAAATCAACATGTTTTCGTGTGTTATTGTTCTTGCTCACTTCAATCTGCATCAAGATGGCCTGCACCTATTTGTAGAATATCACTAGGTACATTAGGATTAGGTTATCCCAGGGAAACAAATTACTCTAGAAATTTGCAAAAATTGACAACATTTAAGTATTTACAAGTGAAGTTTGTCCAAGGAGTTCATAAAGAGAACATTTGACAGAATAAATAAGACAAATTGCAGCCTTTATCCCCAACCTATACCCCATTTGCAGTTTTATCCCCAACAATTTTTCTTGGCATTGAGCACCTCAACCTTGTTTCCATCCAAAATGGTTGTTAAGTTGGCACCGAAAGACATTATCCTTTAAAATGCAAATAAACAAGAAAATAAATACAGAAGGAAGGAGGGAAGGAGGAAGAAGAAAAGAGGAGAGAAAAAAGAAAACAAACCCCTTCTTTCCCAATCCACTGCAGCACCCCACCACCACCAACGCCAATTCTGTGCGTGCAAATGTGAGTATAGGGTGGGGACTGCGTGTGCAATTTATCTGAAAAAAATTAGAAAAAGGCAAGAGCTAGTTATTTAGGTAAAATGTGGATGAATAACAAAATCCGAATGTAGATGTTTGACACCAATCAGTTGCAGTAAAGCTTTGTTACCTTGGTTTATCTGAGTTGCGCAACCATTGTACTGCTTGATAGTTTGGAGTTTTTTGGATGTCTATAGAGTCCTTTTCAAAGCAGTTGTTCAATAAACCGAATCGAAAGGGGAAAACAAATAACTTAATATTCCTGGCGTCAATGCAGAAGGAACTACAGATATGCACCTTGGAAAGCAAAATACTTCTAGCAATCTCTATCTTGATATTGTCAAAGCCATGCTCTTGGTGATCTGTTCGGGGCTTTCATAATATACAATGGGTTTTTTGACTGAAAACTGAGATGGATCGCGGTCATGAGTACCTTACTTTGTTAACATTGTAGGAAATATGAAGGCAGATGGTTTTGCAGCAGTATTATTGCAAGTTTAATGAAAGGGTCTGCTGGGTGCAGCTGCCCCACTGGAGTTTGAGGGAAGGTCTTTGAGATGGAAAAGAAATAGTAAGATGTCATGTTAAGTGTAATTCTAAGGAATCAATGTGAAAAAACTTGTTCTTTTAATGTGTGAACGTAGCACTGATTGATGGCAAGATTTTCTCTGCTCTCTTTTAAAAATTTCTTATTCTTAAACTTGGGTGGTCGGTGGTTGTCACTGCTCTGCCCACCACTGCCCTAAAGATTATTTCTCTCCTGATTTGCTTCAATTTTTTTCATATCTGGTAGTTTAGTGTTGGATGTTGTTGACCATGCGTGATTTTGGTGGCTATGAGGGCGTGGATTCGTTGTTTATGAATTGGTTGTTTGGTTTTCAATGGATTTAAGGGGTCTAATATTTTGTCTTTTTGCCTTTACTGAAGTTGAGATTTCCACTCCTAACAGTTAACACCACTATTTCTCTGTGCGGCTTCTCCTGCTTTGGTGCCTCTTTGCATTATTAGTCCATTATATAATTAATAACAATTGTTCACTTTGGGTTGCTTGGTTAAGTGCAGTCAAACATGTATTTGGCTATCAGATTAGGCACCCTAAGTAGAAGTTGCCAGAGCAACCTTGGGATATTTTGTTTAATTATTGACATAGGCTTTAGCAAAGAATTCATAAAATTACTAGCCTCTGTAGAATTATAATATTTATAATATTTCTATATTATTAATTTATTTTCAAAATTTTATTACCAGAAGAATCATTCCCCAACTGAATAAAATTTCTCTGTCTACCCCTGAATGAGTTAACTGGATCTTTGTGAAACACTTCTTCATTTTAGCTATTTCTTTTGTAGTATCTGTGAGATGCTAAGTGCTTAGTTTGGTTGTTGAATAACATATTATTAAATTAGCGGAAACTTGTGGCACTGTTTATTTTAGTCATTTCTGCGTTCAGCCTTCATAATATGTATGGATGAGAACTTCCTGGTATAGAGCTGTTATGAAACCCATTATTACATTATCAGTTAGAATGCTTGCAGCTTCCCCCTTTATTGATCACAATCTGCATGCTCTTTATGTGTCACCCTTGCTTTCCATGAAAAACTCGTTGATTTCCTGAAACCTGGTAGTCCTTCTGGAGGGTCATCCCCCCATCTCTACACAGTATTTTTCTATTTGTTCTAGTGATCTTTATTCCTCTCACCATTAAACTTCTGCTCCTTGGTCTTGACAATTAAACTTAAGTTGTTTAACGTCCAGTCCATTAACCATACTTTGGGTATGTAAGACTAAGAGTATTCTTCCTCTTGCTCGGTATTAGGGCTGGACATGGTCCGGTTCAGAACCGAACCGAATCAAAATTTTTGGGTATTTAATAAATGAAACCGTTGGGTCCAAATATAATTATTGAATCGTTCGCTTTCGGTTCCGTTCGGTTCGGTTCCGTACTATAATTAAATTTTTTAACAGATTTCTAATGGTCAACGATCGGTGGTTGCGGTTAGAGATTGCGGCTTCGATGGGCAGTTGGAGAGGGAAAGTCGGACTCGGAAGTTAGCGGCTTTGATTTGGACATATAGATATAGATTTTCAATTTATCAAATGATTTGGAGTTAGTAACTTAGTGGTTA